CCTTCACCTCCCCCCTCTTGTCCCTCTGAGTCGTCTCCAAGGACCCTGTGGGGCACCACCTTGCTTTCCAGTCTCCAGGCCTGTGGCGGCACAGGCTCTGTGCAAGGACGATCAGGGCTCACCACCGTGTCTCTGAGCCTCTGTTGAGGCTGACCACTCACGCGGCTATATTTATTTTTGTCTCCGGGCTCTTGACGCCCGGGCTGGCTGTTAGAAAACTAGAAAGCGAAGCTGCTCTGCACCACCGGGGCTTTGGCCATGGCAGGTTGCTCAGGAAAGGGAGTGAGCAGGGTGGGCAGGGTGGACAAACTCTGTGGTCTGCAGCAGAGATGGGGAGTCGGGGCCAGCGGAAGTTTTGTCTGTGGTGACTAGATTTGGGCCAGATCGGTGGCAGCCGTTAACCTAGAAACAGTTAACAGCCAGAAAAGTCAGGAAACACGTGTCAGTCCCGAGTGAGGCCGGACTGCCAGTGCCCAGGACATATGGGGCTCTGTGCCCTAGAAACGGTGGGTATGGAGTGACCACATGGCCGTTTTGATTGCGCCCAGTGTGAAAGAGGATGGAGACTTGAGTAGCTCAGGGAGTAGTCACACAAAAGCCTAGAGCAAAAGCAATTCGTCGACATAAAGACCCATGGAGGTGTTCCATGTGTGGGGCCCTGTCCTGCCCACTCTGTGGCACTCCCCAGAGAGCGAGAGACCTCCTGGCAGCCAGGCCCTTCTGAGAATTTGAAGGACATACTCCGTGTGGGAAGGGGATAAAAGCTCCAGGGGGAGGAGACCTTGGGGAAGGGTCTTCGTGCGTGGGTGGGAGGTTGATAAGCAGCAACGGGCAAAGCAGGAAGGCTGGAGGACTAGGGTTAGGGTTGAGGCAGGGAGGTGGAAGGAAGGGTGTCCTGACCAAGCCAGTTCGACTGCAGGTTAGAAACTGCACAGACAGGCAGAAGGGAAGACTGGAGAGGGCAGCGGTGGTGGCGAGCCTGGGTACTGAGTGCGGGGCTGGACCTCGGCCCCGCAGGAGGCAGAGGACGTTGTTGGGTGGGAAAACGCAGTGCTCTTCATCAGATCAGGGGGCGTTCCTTCACCGACATGCCTGGGCAACAACGCTGGCCCCAAGACCCACGCCCTACAATCTGGTCTCCTGGGGCGGCCAGTTCTAAAGAGCCTTGCCAGTCCTCGCTGAGCACTGGCGCTCAGTCATAGTGCCAAGGGGAAAGGCTTTGCAGGGGATCAGTGTTCCCCTCAACATCAGCAGGTGGTATTAACTGCATTCAAGTAGCCAGACATTGCATTAACACGGGTCTTATTCCCCCATGCCCCTTACACCAAGGGGCAGGAGTTTGCCCCAGTTTCTAGCCCTTTTACATTCCAGTAAGAACGGTCTTTGATTAGCAGTATGATCTTGGACAAGTCCACAGGAAGCCTTTAGGTGAAAAGGAGGAAAAGCAGCTGCAAACATCGACGAGTGTCCACTGTGCATCAGGCATGCCGTGAGGTCTTTGCACATCATGGCACTTCATGGCAGCAGAGTCCTTACAGTTTACACGTTTTTCTAGACTTGCAGCTTCCTCATGTGCAAAATGAGAAGGGGGACCGTGTCATTTCTAGGGTCTTTGGTCCCTCACAGTTTGTGCTCCTGTTGGGTAGTTCTCCTGCTAGGAGACGGGATTCAGGTTTAAAAGGAGTCAACTTGGGGGCTTCTCCACAGAGGCCAAGGCAAACGGGTTATCTAAGAGGCTGTATCAACTGAAAGTACAGGTGGGTCCCAGTGGGTGGTTTAGATACATTCATGGAGGATAGGCCCAGATTGGACCGTGAAAGAAGAGTTAGGGAATCCCTGAGTCCTCTTACTCGGCCCATAGTGAGAACCATAAGATAGGGTTGATGATGATGATGATCCTTCCCACCTTGGGAGGTAGTGGTGACTATAGAACAAAGAAGTGAAGTTTCTTCCTAAGACACACAGCCAGCAAGTGACAGAGCCAGGATCTGAGCCCACAAGTGACAGGGCCGGGATTTGAGCTGTACAAGCTGAGTCCTCACCGTGAATGCACCATCCTGCACTGTGACACCACCCGGAACATGAGCACACAGCTATGAAGGAATAGAGCACAAGCTTCCGCCATGTCCAGGAGCTGCCCTGAGGGCTGCTGAGGAAGAGGTCCTGCTGGGCCCGTCAGGCCACTGGTATGACCCAGGGAGGAAAGAGTTGTTTTTAAACTATCTAAACTCAGAGACTCTATAGGAACGTAATTCTAACCCCAAAGGAACAGGAAGATATAAACTGCAGCTTTTAAACTTAATATCCTTTCAAACATAAACACATTTTTACCTTCTGCTTGGATATTTCCTTTATTTCTTTCTTTCTTTCTATTTTTTTTTTTTTTTTTTTTTGAGTTGGAGTCTCACTCCATCGCCCAGACTGGAGTGCAGTGGCCGCTCCCGGCCACCGCAGCCTTGACCTGCTGGGCTCCAACGATCCTTCCGCCTCAGCCTTCCAGGTAGCTGGAACTACAGGCACACGCTACCACGCCCAGCTAATTTTTTTTTGATTTATTGTAGAGATGAGGTCAGGCGGGTCTCGAACCCATGGGCTCAGGCAATCTACTCACCTCAGCCTCCCAAAGGCGTGGGATTACAGGCTGAGCCACCGAGCCCGGCTTTTCCTTTATTACTAAGCGTTTGATGTCCACAGGGACAAACTGATCCATTTCATTCCTCAGATAGCAAGGTCTTGACCAGAAAGGGACAATTTTCAATGTCTTTGGCTAACATTCCAAAAAATCCCAGTGGAAAGGAAAAGAAAAAAGAAGCATGTATCTCAAAAAGCTGAAGCCAAATGCAATGTGCTGAAAATCCTTCATATTGCCAATAAAGAAGTCTGTTATTCCTTTCGCTGGACTTGGTAGCACACACCTGTAATCCCAGCTACTCTGGAGGCTAAGGTAGAAGGATCGATCACTTGAGCCCAGGAGTTCAAGACTGTAGTGAGCTGTGATCACACCACTGCACTCCAGCCTGGGTGGCAGGGTAAGACCCCGTCTATTAAAACAAACAAACAAAAAAGTTGTTCCTTCACTCTTTTTCCTCTAGAATAATTAGGTTGAGTTTTCACAATGCTGTTCCCTGGGGCAAGGAGAGCCGGTTTGAGGTCGTGTATGCAAAGAGGACCTGGGCTGAAGAAAAGGACAAGTGTGTGCTGTGGGGAATCCCTCCATGGTAGCCGACACTCACACGGCCCATCTGCCCATTTGGGTTCTTCTGCGGCCAGCAGACTGGGACACAGGGGCCCTTATGGGGCTGAGAACAATGTTGGCCCAGGGCAACTTTCACTTGAGTCACTCCAGGCGACCTCTCCAGGTAGGCGTAGAGCAGCAGCAGAGGGAACAATCAGGAGGCAAGTATGGTGGGCCTAGAAACAGTGTCCACTGAGCTGTGAGATTATTCCCCTCTGAGCGGGTCATTGGCCTGAGTTCACAGGTAGCCTTCAAAATCACTCTGTTCTTGGGCTCCTTGGTCTTCTTGCCAAGCAGGAAGCAGGTCAGCTGCAGGCCGTGGGGAGGACTGGGCTGCTAGGAGGCTGGCACTGGCTGGGGCAGAGCCATGCTGGCCCCTGGTGCTGGGCAGAGGGTATGTGACCTTCACTCACTCAGCCTCCCAGGCAGAAACAAGCATGCTAGGCCCCTTCAGGAAGGTGCTAGCAGTGGTGATGATCTGCCAGGATCTGTCCCACTCTTTGCATGTGCCTCTTGTCAAGCAATCATTTTGCTTTTTATTCAACTGGGAGAGCATTTTTTTGAGCTCCTACTTTGAGCAGCACTGGCTCAAAATGCAGAAACGAGAGGCCAGGTCTCTCCATTGAGAACTGTCTCGATAAGTGGGAGGCACTGTGGACTGAATGTCTGTGTGCCCTCAAAATTTGTGACTAAGCACAGTGGCTCACACCTGTAATCCCAGCACTTTTGGAGACCTAGGCGGGAGGATTACTTGAGGCTAGGAGTTTGAGACCAGTCTGGGCAACATAGTAAGATCTCATCTCCACAAAAAAAAAAAAAAAAAAAATCACAAAAATTCCGCTGGTGTGGTGGCACACGCTCATGGTCCCAGCTACTCAGGAGGCTGAGGCGAAAGGATCACCTGAGCCCAGGAGATCGAGGCTGCAGTGAGCTGTGATTGTGCCACTGCGCTCCAACCTGGGTGACAGAGTGAGACCCTGACTCAATTTTTTAAAAAATCATATGTTAAAGCCTTCATCTCAGTGTGCTGATATTAGGAGGTGGGGCCTTTTGGAGGTAATTCGATTTAGATGAGGTCATGAGGGTAGAGCCCCCAGGGAAATTAATGGCCCTGATGGAAAGAGGAAGAGACATCAGAGCTTCTTTTCTGTGCGCATACACACCAAAGAAAAGGCCATGTGTCTTGGTCCATTTATGTTGCTACAAAGGAGTACCTGAGGCTCGGTCATTTATTTTATTTAAAAAAAGGTTCATTTGGCCTGTGTGCCAAAATAACGTGGCTGGGACCGTGTTCCCGTGTGACCTCCCAAGCCCACAGACTCCTCCTGTCCGTCCCCCCAGGGTGAGCATCCCAGGCCAGAAGGTGACTGTGCAGGGGTGGGGTGGACGGAGCTCGGCCTGGGCTTTGGGATACCCATACATGAGCGTCTGCTGGTGAGCGGGGTGAGAGAGGGGCCTGGGCTGGGCCAAGCGCTGCGTGAAATTCCTTGCCTGGGCTCCCTGTTGGCTTCACCCAGATAGCTGAGCGCTCCTTGCCTTCTGCCGCTTTCAGACGGAAGGGTGTGGGCCAATCAACACTCATGGGCCACCGCTGGCAAAACGAGCAAACGTTAGAAGGACCGTGGGCCAGCAGTGGCCTCTTCGAGTAGCCTGTGCGTGGGATCGGTTCTTTCCCCTCTTACGAACTAGACACTGCTGTGATGACGTAGAAACTGGGTGCCTCTCACGCCTCACTTCTCTTTCCAACACGTAATATCTTTTTCAGGCACAGCTATCTCAGGCCTTAAATGGAGTTTCAGATAAGGCAAAAGAAGCAAAGGAGTTTCTGGTTCAGCTCAAGAACATACTGCAGCAGATCCAGGTGAGCAGAGCTCTGGCGCTGGGGGCGCAGCGCAGACAGTTTGCGACTTGTGCATAGCATCAAGAGGAAAGAAAAGGTCTTGTGCTGAGCGCTGGTCAGCGATGAGCATTAGAAGGTTCATGTGTCCCACTGTATCAGTGTGGATGCTGAAGGTACCCCCCACTCAATCTGTTGGCACGCATGTGACACCTGGTATGGGAAAGAAAGAAATCTTACACGAGCCAGTTAGAGCAGGAAAGGGCTGATGCCGCACTCCGTGTGGCCATGCAGTCTTATGCAATCCCTGTGCGGTGCATCTGTGCCCAAAGTGCCCATGGAATCAATGCAATATAAATGTACTATTCACCAGATAGCCACGGGACATTCTGGGTCATGATGTTTCTGATGTTTACAGTAGTTCACAGACACAGGATGTATTCGTTTGCAAGGACTGCATAACAAAATACCAGAGATAGATGACTTCATCAACAGAAGTTTATTTTTTCATAGTTCTGGATTTCATAGTTCTGAAGCCCGGAAGTTGAAGATCAAGACATTGGCAGAGTTGGTTTCCTCCGAGGCCTCTCTTGTAGATGGTTGTCTTCTCTCTGTGTCTGCCTTAACTTAATCATTTCTTTAAAGGCCCTATCTCCAAATATGGTCACGTTCAGAGGTACTGGGGATGGGGTAGGATTTCAATATATGGTTTTTAGGAGATACAATTCATGAGGTCAGAATCCACACTGATCTTTGAGACTCAGAAGGATTCTTTCTTAAGACTGAGAAAGATAGACCCTGCATCAAGAGTGTTATTTTTTTTGTCTTAATTTTTTTCTGATGATAAAAAGCGCAGGAGTATATTACAGAAATTTTGGAAAATAGAGAAAATAGCAAAACTAAGAAAAAGGTCACTAGTATCTCACCATCTGAGGTGACCACTCTCACCTCTTTGACATAGGTCATTCCTGTGCTTTAGACATAGACACATACCTGCGCGTGCACACACACAGTACATATATACACAGCCTGTATCCTGCCTTTTTCCTTCTCAATGCTTCTCTCATGCACATTTCCCATGGCATGAAACATGCTCTCTGAACAAGGTTTGAATGACGACAGAATATTCCGCCCTATAGGCGTGCTGAGACTCTTAGCACCCTTCCTCAATTCTTGTTTATATTGTTTCCAATTTCACAACGTTGTGAGTAACCCTGGGGCAAGCTTCCCTGAGGCGGTTCTTTGTCCATAGTGCTCACCAGATCTCAGCATCTCCTCCCTAAGGCCCTCTGCTTCCCCCAGGAAAATGGACTGGACTACGAGGCATGCTTGGTTGCCCAGTGCGACGCCCTTGTGGATGCTTTGACTCGGCAGAAAGCCAAGCTGCTCACCAAGGTGACCAAAGAGAGGGAGCACAAGCTGAAGGTAGGTGCCTGGGTGACCGATACATCTAGTCTCTGTTCTCCCCTCCATTCCCGGTGTGGGGTGAACCACACAGTAGGCATGCAGTAGACGCCGGGTAAACATGGGTTAGGAGAATGAATGGAACAAGGAGGCAAGGAAGGGGTGGACCAGTTGTTTCGGTTGTGCTCATGTGACTTGACAGAGGCCAGTCAATACGCCCTGTATCTCGCTGGTCTCCAGTCAGAATCCCACCCTCTGCTTCCTTCTCTAAGTTGCTGTTTCTGTCTGAGGGACTCTTGTTCTCACTGTGCAGAGCAGAAGTGACCAATGACAGTGACTGGTTCTGGCTCTGGTCAGGCCCCCAGCTTGGTCCCCTTCCTCAGGTTCTCTCTGATGTCGAATGCACTCGGCCATGATACAGGCAGCCAGTTTCCTCTGAGGAAGGCGAGGCCCTCCCTTCCCGCGACATGGGGTTCCTGGCTCAGGCAGGTGCCATGAGCTCTCGGAACTGATGAAGGGCTGCCGTGGTCTGCGGAGATCCGTCTCTGCAAGAAGCATTTCCTAACTGCATCAGAAAATACCACTTTGAAGGAAAGAAGGAATGGGTGCTGGAGGCAGCCCATGGTTTGTAAGTGAAGGGGCTAAGTCTGTCGAGTTACGCGTGACCACCTCTGGTGGAAAGCCAGTCAACAAGTTGATCGTGGCCGGGCTCGGTGGCTCAGCCTGTCATCCCACATCTTTGGGAGGCTGAGGTGAGTGGATGGCCTGAGTCCGCGGGTTCGAGACCCGCCTGGGCAACTTGGCGAGACCTCATCTCTACCATAAATCCAAAAATCAGCTGGGCGTGGTAGTGCATGCCTGTAATTCCAGCTACTTGGAAGGCTGAGGCGGAAGGATCGCCGGAGCCCGGCAGGCCGAGGCTGCGGTGGCCGGGAGTATGCCACTGCACTCCAGTCTGGGCCACAGAGTGAGACTCCAACGTGGAAAAAAAGAAACAGAAGTTGGCCACTGGCCTTGTGGAGCGTTTCAGATTAGGCCCTTTCTCTGCATTACTGTCAGTTTAAAAAGCTTGCTGTGTTGAGCCGGACACAGCGGCTAATGCCTGTCGTCCCAGCAACTGGGGAGACTGAGACAGGACGATCACTCAAGCCCGGAGTTGGAGGCTGCAGAGAGCTATGGTAGCAAGACTCTGTCAGTAAAGAGAGAGAGAGAGAGAAGGGAGGAGGGAGGGAGGGAGGGGATAGAGAGAGAGAGAGAAAGGAGAAAAGAAAGGAATATTGGCCGTATGGTGAGTGAGTCCTCTCAGTCCTCAGCAAAGCGGACACGTGGGGCTCGGGAACAGAGCTAACAGAGGAGAGGGTGTGAGGCAGTCGAGACCAGCGCCATCTCTTCCCGGGCGGTCTGCTCTCGTTCTTCGGCTCTCCGTGGCCTGCCAGCGGCTGCTCTCGCGAGACGGTTACTTACAGGACTCTTTCCGCCGCAGATGGTTTGGGACCAGATCAATCACTGTACGCTGAAGCTGCGCCAGTCCACTGGGCTGATGGAGTACTGCCTGGAGGTGATCAAGGAGAACGACCCTTCTGGATTCCTACAGGTGAGCCCCCTGGAGGATGCCGGGTGCCATTTCTCCAACTCCTCTGCCACCCTCCAGTTGAGTCTAAGTTTTGGGCGAGATCCTTCTCTGGCTTGGAGTTAAGCAGGACTCTCCTTTGCTCGGTGATCCCAGAAGACCGAGGCTCCCACCTTGGCTTTGGCTCTCACAAGCCGTGACCCTAATTTTGCATCATTTGCGTGAAGAGATGAAATGGCATAATCTCTGGGGTCAAAGCACCATGCTGCAACGTTTTCCCCACAAATGGGGAAGGCCAGTCTTTGCCAAATGATCTAGACAGAGTGAACTGGGAGAGGCAAAGCCCATGACCTCCGCGACTTCTGTGAGCAGAGTCCTGCAGGCCCGGCCGGTGGCCGCTGCTCACAGAAACAGTGCCGCCCCTCAGTGCCATCTCGTCAGCACTCGGGCTGACTCAGGCGCATGAGTGTCTCTCGGGAACATAGTGGTGATTCAGGCTCTGTCTGTGGAGACAGTGATGAGTCTCTTTGATTATTCCCCAAGCAGGGTAACACGAGATCATGGCTGTGCAGGGACATGTGCACATAATCTGACAAGCAGTACTTTCTAGCACAGGAGATCAGGGCTGTGCATGAGATGCAGTCAGGGCTTGGAGTAGAAGCTACTGAACCACTCAGAGGAAACACACCAGGAAAAGCAGGCTTCAACACCCTAGGTGTGGGATATGACTTCTACAGACACCAGGACAAACTGCCAGTGTGTTGTACTGTAGCCAGCAAAACAGAAATAGTGAAGGATGCTTTTGTACATTTTTTAAAGCATCATGTATTATTTCACCATAGGGCTTGGCCCGATTCCTTTAAATAGCAAGTGTTTCTTTTCAGTTTCCCACGATTGCACTTAACATGTGATTGATAACAACGCTCTGCCTTTTTATAAAGCCAGTGTTGTGCGGGCAGGGTCATTTAACTTCTGCCATGGAGGAGAGTACTCACCTTCTTGTCCCTGGACCCCATAGAGACAGAGTCCCTACCCTGTCCGCACCCCCGGTGCACACTCTTTCCTTTGTAAAGCGAAGCCTTAAACTCTTTGCTCCCTTTAAAGATCTCAGATGCTCTGATCAAGCGTGTCCAGGTGTCTCAGGAGCAGTGGGTCAAGGGTGCGCTGGAGCCGAAAGTGTCTGCAGAGTTTGACCTGACCTTGGACAGCGAGCCGCTGCTGCAGGCCATCCACCAGCTGGACTTCATTCAGATGAAATGTAGGGGTGAGCCGCGGTCGGCCCGATTCAGTCAGTGCCTCTTTCGGAAGAGGCCTGCTGTCTGAGGGGCAGCGTGGTGCCATGCAGAGACCTGTGATACACACACAGAGTGGCAAAGTGGGAACCCCAGAGTGGCAGACCTAGGTTCAAGTCCCAGCTCAGCCCCTAGACGCTGTGTGACTCAGTGGGAAGCATTCGGGCCCAGCCTGAGCCCTCCCCTTTGTAAAATGAGGGTCACCGGTTCATCCAGAAACACTTATGGAGTGTCGACCACGTGCCAGGCTCCATTTCAGGTGCTCAGGTTATAGGGGTGTATTTTTTTTTTTTTTTTTAGTCGGAGTCTCACTCTGTTGCCCAGACTGGAGCGCAGTGGACGCTCCCGGCCACCGCAGCCTCGACCCGCTGGGCTCCGGCGATCCTTCCGCCTCAGCCTTCCGAGGAGCCGGAATTACAGGCGCGCACTACCACGCCCGGCTCATTTTTTGATTTATTGTAGAGATGAGGTCTCGCTGCCCAGGCGGGTCTTGAACCCGCGGGCTCAGGCCATCCACTCACCTCAGCCTCCCAAAGGCACGGGATGACAGGCTGAGCCACCGAACCCGGCTGATAGGGGTGTATTTTGAGGTGAGGAGGAGGAGGAAGAGGATGGGGGAGAAGCCATCTAGCAGAGAAGTGTGAAGGCAGCAGAGGGATGGCCAATACAAGGGCCCTGAGGCAGGAGTAAGTTTTCTGTGTTTCAAGAAGAGCAAGAAGCTCAGAGGTGAGCGCAGAATGAACCAGGAGAGGATTGTAGGAGGTGGGTTCAGAGAGCCAAGGGGGACTTGGAGCTAAGCAAAGTTTGCATAGCTTGCTCTGTGAGGAAGTCAGCAAGTCACGGCCAGAACCAAGGCCTGCTCTACACGCTGCCTCTCCAGAAATGCTGAGGGCACACACTGGGAGAAAGTAAGGCTAGCTGGTTTTCTGTGGACTGCAGAAGCTGCGAACTCAGGAAGTCCTTACCTGCAGAACTCGGGGTGATGTTTGAACTAAAGACAACACGCGTCTTTGCAGACTCCCACACGCCCTCCCACAGCTTGCACCGCGGGTGAGGGTTGGAAAGACCACCTACCCCGGACGTCAGTGAGACCCAGGAGGAGCCTGGCAGAGTCGGGGAGCCATGACAGAAGGAACGGTTGCCCCGGAAAAAGGGAGTGGAGAGGAAGACGGCAGGGGTCACTCCAGATGCTTCTCCTGACTAAACGGTTCAGAGAGGGTTCAGAAAGGAAGCCGGGAGGAGAACGGCAGAGCCCAGGGGATGAAGAGGACACGCAAAGCCTTGTTCACTGAGATCTGGGAGTCAGACTGCATCTGTAACTCACCCCGCTGAACCGAAGGTTAAAAGCTGGAAGAATGCCCTAATTCTTGGAATTGAATTACGTAGTTTTTATGAAACCAGTGTTGCGATTTTCCCTTTGAAAATGAAAGGTCAGCCAGGCATGGTGGCTCACACCTGTAATCCCAGTACTTTGGGAGGTAGAAGCAAGAGGATTGCCTGAGCCCACGGGTTTGAGACCAGCCTGGGCAATTTAGCGAGACCTCATCTCTACAGTAAATCAAAGAAACCAGCTGAGCGTGGTGTCGCCTGCCTGTAACTCCAGCTACTTGTAAGGATGAAGGAGAAGGATCTCCTGAGCCCAGCAGGTCGAGGCTGCGGTGGCTGTGAGCGTGCCACTGCACTCCAGCCTGGGCGACAGAGTGGGACTTTACTCAAAAAAATAATAAAAATAAAAATAAAAGGTCAGAGTGGACTATATTTCTAAAATTTCTTGAGCCAGAATTGAGCTAGAAAATTTTTTAAATTCTCCCCCTCTCACCTTAGTAGAACTTATCATACAACTGATTTGATCCTTAATTCTCTGGGTGGACTGTCCAGTACTGTAGGATAACTTTCCTTGCCGGTCCCAGTGACTCACACTGATTATTCCAGCACTTTGGGAGTCTGAGGCAGGAGGATGGCTTGAGCCCAAGAATTTGAGACTAGCCTGGGCAACAGCGTGAAACCTCATCTCTACAAATAGTAAAAAAAAAAAATTAGTCAGGCATGGTGGCATGCGCCCGTAGTCCCAGCCACTCGGGAGACTGAGATGGAAGGATCACTTGAGTCCAGGAGGTCGAGGCTGCAGTGAGTCGGGATTGTGCCACTGCACTCCAGTCTGGGCAAAAGAGTGAGATCCTGCCTCAAAAAAATAAAAATAGGCCGGGCTCGGTGGCTCAGCCTGTCATCCCAGCACTTTGGGAGGCCGAGGTGAGTGGATGACCTGAGCCCGCGGGGTCGAGATCCACCCAGGCAACTTGGCGAGACCTCATCTCTACAATAAATCAAAACATGAGCCAGGCGTGGTAGCGCGCGCCTGTAATTCCGGCTACTCGGAAGGCTGAGGTGGAAGGATCGCCGGAGCCCAGCAGGTCGAGGCTGCCACTGCACTCCAGTCTGGGCGACAGTGAGACTCCGACTCAAAAAATAAGTAAATAAAAGTAAAAAAAGGAAATGCTTCCTGCCAAGGGTATAACGGTGCCCCCCTGCCGACCCACCTCCAAGTGTAACTGCCAAGTGTAAGCTCTCGCTGCGATCCCGGCCCACAGAGAGCATCCCTCTCGGCTGGTGCTGTGCCTGGGCAGCATGGGCACTTGGACGCTGCTGGAATTCTCCTCGTGCTCCTCGCGGGCCTAGGAGTCCAAACCCGTGGGGAGTGAGACATGGGAGAGAGGCTGGGGGCCTGGACAGAACATCCTCTAGGGTTGGGAAGTGCCCCCTCACCTGTGCCTCCAGGAGGCTGG